TTTAATTAAAAATTTTCGATATTTTGAGAAAAAGAAAGTTTTTAATTTTTCCGAGATTTTGTCAAGGGGTTTGTTCAAAATCATCTCAGCTCCTCCCCATTTCTAACACTAATTTCAGGGCATCCTGTAGAATTTGCTCGCCTGTCTCATCCTCATAGGATCAGGTGTATGTATAATAAGTACGATGACACTACCGTATCAAATTATAGACCTTTTAAATTATAAATATTCTATATATGAAAGTTAATTCTTTGAACTACATGAATTCAAATTTAATTATATACAGATTATTTTATTAAATCAATTAAATAATAATTGATTATAATTAATGATTGTAGTATGAAATCTCCAATTGACGAAGGGATTAATTTCAGGTACATACTTATCTCAAGGTCTGACATATACGCGCAACTCTACACCACGAAACGAATAATTCTGATGCTGATTGCCATCTGGACTTTAAGTTTCTCTTTACTTCTACCGCCACTGCTCGGTTTCTGGGGCACGTTAGGCTTAGAACCATCCACGTTCTCCTGCACTATTTTAAAGAAGAACGGTGCAAGTCCAAAGAAATTTCTATTCGTCTTAGGTTTCATCGTGCCTTGCGTGGTGATAAGCGTCTCGTATCTTTGCATTTACTGGCGCGTGCGGAAGAGCAGAAAGAATCTGGAGGCGCACGTCGGCATGTCCAGGAGAAAAGCTGGCGGTTTTCAAAGAAGGGAGGATTCCAGGGTGACCAGACTGATGTTGACCATATTCCTCTGTTTCTTATTATGCTTCATGCCGTTGATGTTAGTGAACGTTATCGACGATAAGATCAAAATCCCGATTTTACACGTGATAGCTTCTGTACTGGCTTGGGCATCTTCCGTTATCAATCCTTTCATTTATGCCGGTACCAATAAACTTTATAGGGAGGCATACAGACAGGTTTTGTGCTCAGCATCGAGCAAAACGCCAAGTACAGGGCCCAAACCGACGCATTCACACTCGAGCAAAGTGTCATCGCCTCAGGCGACTTGAAATTTGACAGTTCGATTACATATTGCTATTTAAGTATTTAAGATTTGTACATATACAATCATTTATGCAGTGGGACAACACTCCTCAGTGCCAAATTAATTGAAATTTATTATAATCTGTAGAAGTCGATAAAGAAGACTGAAAGAGAGGTGAATGCACATGGAAAGCAATAATATTATGAACGATTTTCCTCTCTATTCATTGGGCATTCATTAAAATATCTAATTTAAATAATATAATTAATACTAGATTGACTATATAGTGTCAAGCCAATTGATAAAATTATATTAAATTATTATTTTTCTATCTATTCAATATTTTAGTTCGTAATATAAATAAGTGACAAACACATGTACAAAAGATATGAAATATTAGTATAATATTATCATGTAAATATACAGTTAAGAACAAAACTGAACACACACTGTATAAAATTGAATAACTTTTCTAAAGTCAGACCAGGCGACCTAAGTTTTCTTAAGTAGTCAGATGGATTAGTTTATTAAATGATGTGTACATTAAATTAATCCACCTGACTACTCAAAAGAACTCAGGTCGTTTGAGATTCGACTTGAGAAAAGTTATTCAATTTTAATTAGCATGCGTTCAGTTTTGCACTTGACTGTACATACTTTAGGGAATAAATTATAAGTAATATCTGAATCCATTTATTAAATATAAAGAGCGAAGTAACTTAGTGATTATAATAGATTAAATTTTTTACATATGATTAGGAAAATGTGTTTTCCCATGCAATGAAACCTGCAATGGAATTATCATCGGCACATCTTCGACACTCAATTTATAATACTGGTACAGTTTTCGCGCCGCGCCGGCATTCGTGAATCGAAGCGTTCGTCTCGGATCCGATCCAGCACTCCGATACGCCAGCGTGCAATTTACTGTCATTCGTGAACACGCCGTACTTCTGGACAGAGAGGAGGCTCTGCTCTTCTTCTTGCTCCGCTGTAAATCGTATCGTCGATAGAGGTGCGCGGTTGCGTTATGTTGCCGCTAATTTGGATTTATGTTCGCATTCGCACGTCGCGTCGCTGCCTCGTCGCCTCCGACAGAATCTTCGATCGCACCTTCTCCCGTTTCCACCTCTAACAGAAAATCCTGCGAATCTCCTGTCAATCGAATCTCTTCGAAACGTAACGTGGAATAAGATACATTATTCATTCAATAGCGAAATTCTAGGAAAAATGTTTATAAAGTACTTTCTTTCCGTATTCTTTCAAATCATTTCTTATCATCAAACAAATCTTTATACAAATAGAATTTACTATAAAATCTTGAAGAAGCCGGACAATTTATTTATTTTTTATAGTTTTTCTCACGGTTATTGAGTAATGGGCGGATGGCACGATCTTCTATCAACCAAGCGTCTTATCCAACGACAGAAGGGGGCTAGAGCAACGCGGGCGGGGGCGTTGCGCGAAAAAATGATGAATCCGATCCGGCGTGGTAGCGGGGAGTACACGGGTCGACATTACCCGTCATTATCGTGGCTCGGCCAACCACTGTAATCCGTATTTCATTTTCTGCCGGTTTTTTCTTACCCACCGCCGCCTCGCCCGTAGAACAAGTGGTTACGGGTCTAGATTACAGGCGTCGTCGGACGACGACCGATAGTTTCCTCGATAGAGCCTCCACCCTCCGTCGGTTTTGCACCTTCCACCCTCTCTCGTTCTTTAACGACAATCAACTCGGCATGACGAGATCATTCCAAAAATGCAGTACGACAAGATTGCCTTTGATAGATACAAAATTGATGACTATTAAAAATATAAAAAAATTAATATCTCATGTAAATTACAAAAATTATTAGACATCGACCAAAGCGAGCAAGAATTTGTTTAGTCGTTAATTAAGCAGCTTCAGGTAATCCTCCTGATTTTTATTTATCCTCCAGTTTGTATGCTTGTATGAGGTATCGTTTGGCGAGCAATTAGTTCTATCTTTCTTAACCCCGTTAACCTATCGACCTGTTCTTCTACGCCGCATCCTTGGGACCGATTACACACATTCTTGCTGGACAAGGTTGTTAGAAAGGGTCGACGGAGAAAGACCGGTGAACGTGTCCATGTCGCGGTAATAAGGTGTAAAAGGAAACTCGAGAGCAGAGAATAAACAAACTATGTATTTAAGTACCCGAGGCTGAACGTTCCGCTGAAAATTTTTGCGAATCTTCGAATTGCTCGGTTCGTTTTTTAATTAGATTTTTAAAAACTATCGTTCTTGCTCATGTTGGTGGAAGAGTGTATATTGTATCTATTAGTGGAGAAGCATACAATACAAAATAATGAAATTCATATAAACGCAGATTGAAAATTGGAAATTTTATTAGTTATATGAGATGCATTTATGTTATTTATGAAAATAATGTCGCTTATGCTAGAGGCGAGTTTAGGAAATGGAGAAAAAAAGAAGCTGAGGCATCGAACATGAGGGAATTAACCGCGAGGTCGAAGGGTTAAGGCGATAAGTGGGAACCCAAAGAAGAGGGGGAGGGAGGGATTAACCTTCTTTCGATGGAAAGATGAGATACACGGGATCGCGAGATGGATAAAAACGCAAGAGATTAATCGTCTCGAATAGCGTTTGATCGGCAGCTTCGAATGATTTCGTAATTAAAATGCGTATAAAGTAATGAATACGTAATCCAATTGGCACTTTGATTCTTGCACTTACTATAATAATCAAATCCTTATTATGGAATGCAGTTCGTATTTTAAATATCGTATAATTTCAAATAATAATAATTAATTTTATTCAATGAAAAAGAAACGAGAACAAAATTCAACATTGAACTCGAGCGAAAAATAATTCGTACGCGTCGTTATTATTTTGCATTGAATATTTCTTGCCCACTACTGATTCGATGATCGTTCGTGTATTTACTTACCGAGTCCCGATCGATCTCCGAATCGGCGCGACAATGCTTGTTGCCCGTAATGAATCTCGGTTGTCGCATAATGAGAGCATAAATTATGCGCTCTGGTACAAGTACACCCCTCTCTGTCGCTCCAGGACCCGGTCCAACCCGGTCCCCGCAATAAATTCTATCCTATACGGACTGTACTTCGATCTGGCCTCTCTGCTCCTCTCCTCACTCGCATTTTCCCTCTTCGTCCGTTTTCTCCTCCTTTTCTCTGTTATTTCATACCTTTACCCGGCGATTTTTCTGCGTGGACATTTACTTCGTCCAGGTTCCTCCTATTTTTCTTGAAAACGGTTAATTAATTACTTCAGTACACTCTCTGCTTTTGATTTAAAGATTGTTTCACCTCCTTTGACAAAATGATTTTTCGTCGTGACTTCAATCTTCCTCAGAAGAAAGTTTTTCCATATACATTTTATAAATTCCAAATTGATTGCGATGGCAACGAATAATTGTTTAACTCCTCGATGTACCGTTCATTGTCCCCTGCGTATCGTTTATTACTTACACCGTTCTTCCTTTTATCTGTCTTTCACGGTGGTCTCATTATTCACGTTCTTACCTCGCTCCTTATTAATTTCGTCAATCTTATCACTCTCCCGTTAATATTTCTCCTTTGACACACGAATACATCTCTCATTCGTCTTTTACCAAGTCTCCCTTCACTCCTGACATCTTTCGCTATAATATATTTCGCTGTGTCACTTATTTATTTTTTTTTGTCAGTAAGTACATTTGGACTGATGCAACGATTCCTCCAAAAGATGTTCGGATATGAAAATTGCATATATTATAAAACTTATCGAACAGATTCATTCCTTTCCAAATTTACGACTATTACTTCTAATTTGGGTTTATTTTTGGTTCATCGATAATTGCAAGTTCTAAGACTTATGGGCGGGAGTGTATGCGAATAGCGAAGGTGTACACCGGCGCGTGTTCAGCTCGATCGTGCCTCGCCGCTCGTATATACTTACCTGGCAATTAGTTTCGCGGAGAATGTTGTTGTCCTTGGTCTTACGTACGGACACACGCACGTACTTACGGGATCCGCTCGTTTTCGCGGGGGTGGGTGTCCCCGTGCACGTGCACACACGGCTTCTACTCTCTCGCGCGGCGCGGCCTCCTCTCCGGGAGGTGCAAACGCGGCCCCGCAGGTGCAACACCTCGCCGCTCGTTCCGCGCTTCCACGGCTATCGCGCGACTTAATGAACGCGCCGGAAAAGTCGATCGGTTTCACGCGAAAATCATATCGAATTAATGGAACCAATTATTGTCATTATAATACAGGTCAGATTAACTAATGGAGATAGAAGTTAAAAACGATTTTATCAAACTGGTAGAGCAATTCTACTGTCCATTTTTTATAGAAGGTGCAGGAATTGGTTATTTCGTTTGGTGATAAAATACAATAATTGTCTTCATATAATGTTATAATATTTGATATCTATAGTTTTCGTTGGTTTACGTATCGGTTTTTTCCTTTTCTGTTGCAGCCTTCCGTAGTTGCTATATCTCTCGCATTCATTTAGCCCCTGCCTCCTCTCCTCTCAAAATTTCTCTCATCGATATTTCTACCTTTACCACTACTACTACACAGCTATGTGTCCCAGCAATAAGGCTCATTTAGATATACATGACACTTGCTTTCTAGTGCCTCTTTCCAATATCTAGTAATCTTTTCTTCATTCCCACATTTAAATCTTGCCAGCATCTTCTGAGCTCCTCCTTTGTGTTCTCTTTTTAAGTATTCCAGCTTTTGTTCTTCTCTAATTGTTTTGTATCTTGGGTTATATCTGCTGTTTCTTGTTGTTGTATTTGCATATTTAAATCCTTCTGTGCTCCTGTTTGTGCTAACCTGTTCGCTTTTTCATTTTTCTAATTCTTCCCCATATCAATTTTTTGTATTTTAAATACTACGTTATGATTTAGTAATAGATCAATTAGTTAATGATTGAATCTGCAGACTTTGACATAAAAAAGCACTACATGTAATAAAATATTTGGAAAATATGAAAAGACCCAATTCATTGTTTGAAAGATTTGATTTCGGATGAACTGGCAATGGAAATGAAAGGAGGTACACATGTAGGCATACTCGCAATATTTGCGGCCAATCATTTTTACGTTCGCCACCCTTGTATCGACTCGTTATCTCGGCGAGCGTTAAAACAGGCACGATACCGATTTTTCCCGATCCATAGCGGAACACGTCCACGTTTAAATTACATCTGCTTAAGCAGAGTGTCGGCGGCCACGGGACCGGTCTCAGATCGCGAAACAATGCCGGCCCGATAAAATAACCGGAGGATTCATTTATTTTACGTTAACTATGTAGTAGGTACTCTACGTACGTTGCTGTACGCTCGGTGATGCACAATCGCTGGCCTCGCGTGACCCGAATATTTTCGTCCAACCGTAAAATTTATTTATTACCATTTTTGGAAATTTCTTTTTATTCAAGCATTTTTCACAGATTTATTTAATGCAATGGTAGTCGTACAGATTTGCCATTTACGAATCGTGAAAATTCTATACGAAGAGGATTCATAAGCGAGATCACAGATAGGAAGTATTATCATGAACTGTAAACTAAATACTTTATTTTAATTGTTTTACGCCCACCAGTTAAGAAGAACAGGCATTTAAATTCAAGGCGGTCGAGTCGAATCCAGCCACGATAAGTATTATGTAGAATATCACGGTTTTATGATAACCATGTTCAAGTGACGCACTTGCACGACGAGATTCAATAGCGTGGAATAAGAACTATCTCCTTTGCAAATTTAATTAGTATATGAAAGTGTGACAAGATAAATATTTCTAATCGTATTTGCATTCTCGATTAAAAAATATCGGTGATCAAACAAGAAATTTATACATTTTCATTAAAACAAAATAACTTGATTCTAATTGAGCATGCAGTATCATGCTTTTAGATATTTCGCATAATTGAAAAACATAATGCAAGATTAATTGATGAAAGTATAATAAGATAAATATTTTTATACATGTTTAGATTCTTGATTAAAAAATATTAGTAATCTAATAAGAAATTTATATAGAGCTTCACTGGAACAGAGTAAACTGATTTTAATTGATCATGCAATATCGTGCTGTTCGTTTTTCGATATTTCGCATATTTCGAGAACATAAATGTACTCATTAGACGTCGGTTTGGAAAATAGCAGCAACACGATCTTGACCGTAGACTGTACTTTCCTTTTACGCCGACGACGCCGGTACTCCTTTTCTGCCAAGCAGCGATTCAGCCACGATAGATCGGAGAAGAGGCAGCGAACCCTCCGTCGATCCGCGGCGTAACCCTCTTCACCTCTTCCTTCCTGAAGCAGAGGCGGCTCTGATTTTTTTTTCCCCTCTACCTTAACCCTCGGAATCGTGGCGGAGAGTCGGAGATACGCGGTACGAGGTGTTGTTGCAACAAGGTGTTAGATTAATTGTACGATTAAATCGTCGTAAATCTCGTAAAAGGGACGCCCACTGCCCTCGGTGCCCAGCCCTCTTCGCTCCGCGCGGGGTTGCACCGCGAGGCCGGAGAACAGGAGGATGGAAGGGGGATGCTGGCAGCCGAAGAGGTGAGTAACTCGACGTTTCCAGGCCGATACGAATCTTTATGGCGCAGAGATTCTTCCCGCCCGAGTTCAAATCCTTTTTGCTCTTCCCTCTCGCCCTCTGCTCTCCTTCTCGCCGTTCGTTTTCTTGGTTATTCGGATCAAACGTTGTTCCGTGATTTGTACGGTTCGTGTAAATTCCGATGCTCGGCCTCTGACAAGAATCAGTCGGCTTTTGAATTTCGGTTTCAAAAATAATTTAAGGATATCCAGCAGATCCTTACTTATGACTTTGTGTACAATTTATCTGTCCTCATTGGCTCAAGTATAATATTCTTGCTTTAGGTTTCAAAAAGAATTGAAGAATATTCAAGTAATCCTTACTTTTGATTTTTTGTAAAATTTTTCTGTCCTCATTTGCTTAAGTATAATATTCGCGCTCCAGTTGTCGGGTATCTTCTCATTAAGTTATGTATGTAATTACTATGGCCGAGGGCCAATTAAAACTGTAATTGAAATTGCTAGACCGTGGTAGGCACCATTATAGCGGCACGTTCTTGCCTTATTTGTTACTGCTCCGATATCATTTGAGTTTCTGTTTAATTGCCTCGAGAGGATGTGCCACTATTCGTAGAATAAAAAATAAATTCCTCCGCCATTTGATACGACTGTAAAAATGTAAATCGAGATGAGTCACTTGCATAATTTGACTTTCACTCGCTTTCCTTCCTGTTTCACCGAGTTTGAAAACTGGCAAAATTTTAAGATTTATAATATTAAATTGAAAGAGAGGATTGCAAATCTTAGATAGTGACAGTCTCGACGAAACCTCACAGTACAACTTGCAATTGTAATCCTGACCGCAGACAATTATCTGGATTCTTTAATTCAATCCCTGCGAACAATCTAATCATTTTTTCGAATTACCAATTATAGTAAATTATTAACTAAAGGTATTTATATTTGTACCTTTTATTACGTTTGAAAACTGCTTCGAGACTTTTTGCCTCTTTGAATTATTTATAAAAATCACTCGCGATCACAACTGATGTACTCACTTTTGACTGTCACTATAAAGACTGTCTTGCTTCATGCAACGGCGTATGTACTTTGGAAGTCGGTGTATATATTACCGCTTGACGGAAGTATGTACATACTTGTACCGGCTACTAGCAACTAAACCTACGAAATAGGGAATATGTAGGGTAGTAAACTTGCCCGGAGCGAGGCGAGCCTGTCGCACAATGGATTATCGTAAATTCCGCGAGGAAACGACCGCGTTAGTCAACCGATCGCACGATTTCTGTAAACCCGTCTGCCTCGGTTACAACCGAACGATTTGCGAGCCCCGCGAGAACATGCAACGAACCAGGTTTAGAAGATTATCTAACACTGAAATTATTGACGCGATCACTTCTCGTATTTCTCTCTAGAATTAAAATATCGTTTAAAATTTTTTATAATTATCTGGATTCGATGCACAGTTTCGTTACGTCGCACGAGGAGATTGCACGCGGTTTGTGTAAACTTTGAGAAAGAAACTAAAAGGGATAAAAATATGTTTGAACGATTGCCTCCTTACCTTGCGTATATCAAACTTAAATTCAATTTGGAACCGATAAGCTTTCAAGGACCAAGATTTGGTTTCTACCGAGACCTCTTAACAATCTACAGATCGCAGAAAATTGTCGATTCCCAACTGAATAAATGCTTGTTTTCTCGGCTTCGCCCAATGATTGCAACGCGAAATGTGATAAATCAATTTGAAATCAATATCCACGGGCATTTCATTTGCGAGACCTCGATTGAATTCGTTTCCTTCATCATCTGTTGTACATACAAATTGTGCTTTCGAACTGTGTACCGCCGGTTACCAACGAGACTCTCAACCGAATAATGCGCGTCGCCTTCGCGCCGCTAAAAGGGGGTGGAGATAAATCCGAGTGCCGGTCGATCGAAATCAGGGACGTGACGTTGTTTAAACGCGAACCGATAATCCGGCGTGGTTTACGGTTATTACCGATCTTTTCAAACGCGTTCCATCGTACTGGCGATTTTTCGTTTTTCTTCACCGACGTCGAAGGGCCAGCGAAACTCGCGGAACGGGTTTTTTTCCCAAAGTAATCCTGATAAGGAGCGTTGCATGCCGCATGCTGGATTCAATGATTGTAATAACGCCGTATTTACTAGACTGCAGATGTTTCCGAACGTTTCATTCACGATTGAAATATTTTACAAGGTATGAGAAGTGCTTTATAAAAATGAAATCATAGACATTTGTTCGATTCATTTCATTCGTCAAATATTTTTAATTTTCGATATTTTTTATGATTTCATATACAGGGTGAGTTGCTTAAGGTAAGTGACCTGAATAACTGCTACATTTTTTTAGATGGGAAGAAATGGCTTAAACAAAAGTTGTTTGGTTTCGAGAGACACATTATATGATGTACATAACTTCTCTGCAGGTGGAGGTGTTTAAGAGATTTGAAGATCAACTCTTGTCTGAAAAATTTTTTCCCATCTTACAAAATGTAGAAATTATTCAGGCGGCCTATCTTAAGCGACTCACCCTGAACACATTTTGTATAAAACTACGCTATAAGTTTCGACTTATCTATAAATACATCAAAATCTACATTTTGATAATAATCGAATAAATACAAGTTAACGACGGAATAAATACACGTAAAATAATTATCGCGTACTTTCTAAAACAAAAAGAAGAGTTCGTCTTAAAAGGGTTGAGCGGCTTCATTTAAGCTTCCAGTCCAGTTCGGAACGAGTTTAGCTGGAAATTTCGATCGGCACGATTGAAATGTAACTCGTACTCCGGCTTGCTAACGAGTTATAAATTTATTGGGACTGAATATAAAGAGGCAGGTTTTACGGGTCAATATTAAGATCGAGTATGCTGATATCCTTGATGTTAATTCTGCTCGGTTAGGGACATTTATTGTGCTCGGGAATTATTGTAATTCGCTTTAATTCTTTCAAGGGATCGTTCAGAGGAATTTAAATAAGAGGCAAGATCGTTTTTGTTTCATGTTTATTCGAAATTTTGGAACAAGATCAGTTGACATGCCCATGCTGCGAAACACTGCTACAATCTTCATGATTATTCCAATTGAATCTCAGCCGCATTTAATACATTTGTTACAGCAGAGCTTCCTTTATTCAAGCTAATTATACATCGTTGATAGCAAAGAAAAAAAATAATTGGAATGGACAGAGAAGAATGAGACATAAGGACATTAAAAATACAAATGAAAAATCTGAAGAACAGAAAATTAAATTATGATTTGTTTCTTTTTAATTACTATTTATGAAGAGGCTCTACTGTATTCGTTTTTATCACAATATTTTCACATTTTCTCGACGAGCCTTAATCTCCGAATCAATTGCAAATGTTTATTCTTACCTACAGTTTGGAGAACATAAATTATATACAATCGCGAGCTCGCCATGTTCTTTGGCTTAACGATCTGCGTATCTCCAGAATTCGCGGGTTTCCGATTAGAGTTAGCCGAAATGGGAACAAAATTATTAGTAACGCTGTACAGTTACAAAAGTGTACCTGACAGTCTCCGAATAAGATATAAAAGATAGTTTATAATTTTGAAATATGTAAGTCTATCGGTTTACTTGATTTAATGACTTGTTTCGTGTTTTATGTTAAGAAATGGCCAATTCTGACGTATGTACGAAAACAGACAAGCGTTCGTAACAAAAATAACTAGATATATTGTAGTATATAAAGAACAAATCAGGCGTAATTCAAAATTAATTAAATCATAAAATATTGAATTTCATATTTATCTTTTGTTTCATAGGAGTCGTTATTTTTATTATGAATCATTTTAATTGAAACCAACCCCACGACCTCGACGTTTTGCGTATTAAAACTTTCTAACAATGTAACACATACGTGTGGTAAAATATATTAATACGATTATATTACGAACGAGAACTCAGTTAAATAAATAATTATTAAAAAATAATAATAATAATAATAATAATAATAATAATAATAATAATAATAATAAAACGAAACGTATAAAATGATATCAAGATT